GTTGTTGTAGTAGTAGTAATAGTAGCAGTAGCAGTAGTCGCAGTAGTAGTAGTAGTAGTAGTAGTAGTAGTAGTAGTCGTAGTAGTAGGCAGTAATTGGGAGTAGTAGTAGCAGTTGCAGTTGCAACAGTAGCGTGGTTCTAGAGGCACAGGGAGCAGGCAAGTCGTTGTCGTAGTCACCAGTCGGCACGCTTCCTGGCACCCCCTCGAACAACTTTAAACGCTCCAATGGCCTGGATCAAAGTGGAGATGACTGGCTGGGTACCTCCATCAGCCATCAGGGCAGCGTGCAAACCGTGACGGAAACTCGTGGAAGGATTCTGAAGCATTGCCTCCAGGGCTTTAGGGCCTCTTCAGAGGTTGGGGTTTGAGTGTCGTACTTGGAATCTCGGATTGCTGGGGTCTTACTGAAGCATCTGGCAGGCTAAGGGGACCGGAAAGCAGGATATCGATTGTCTCCCTAACTGGCCTGCACGATTCGGAGAGACCCCGAGAAGCAGGCAATTTGAAAGGTATCGAAACCTGGTAAGTTCGGCTTGCTAAGATCCGCTCCAGCATCACACACCGCCTGCAAACCTTCCACGTTGTCTGCTACACTCGCCCAGTGAATGGCAACGCTCGCATGTCCATCGACTGCATTCACCGCAGACAGCAGCAGCTTCAACACTCCATTCCGACGGAAATATGCCGCCAGCGACAGAACGGGCATGTTCTGCGGAAAAAGCATCTTGCGCTTGTGTCGGGTAATCCTGTCGTTGCAGTCTGCTTTCTGTCTGAGCAATGCCTTGGCTGAGTCTTCTTCTTGAATGACGACATGTCAGGAAAAGCGTGACGTGTTGTGTCATGTCATCTGATATAACCTATTTTTGGCTGACACACTAAAGGAGATTCTATGATGTCAAAGCCACTTCCACCAAGAATTGCTTGCCGGAAAGTACGGCATAACACATTGGTGTCCACCCTGCCGGATCTCGCTCAGAAACCGCCTTAAAGCCAGTGTCATGCAAAAAGCGTTCCACTGCAAAGGCCTCCGGATAGGCGAAAGGATCCGCTTGCGACACGAATCCGGGCATCAAGCCCTCGAGCGGAAGAAAACCGAGCCCGGACAGGCAACAAATATCTTGCGTGCTCAAGAGATACCGGAAATTGTGCAGATCACCTTGTTCCAGGTAGTACTGCAATTTCTTCCAGACCATCTGTACAAGCACACGTCCGACTCGAGCACGATCGGTCTCCAACGTAAAAAGGCCGGCACCTGGGGAGTCCAGGTGCCGATGGAGGCTTGATCGACATAACGTGTTGCTGCATCTCGCTCTCGACTACGACCACGAAACCATCATCCCGCACTGCAAGTTCTCTGGCCACGCGTTCAGTGCGACACCTGAGCGGAATATACTATACATACTATATACTATACTACAAGAACTGCCCAATATGTTTTCCCGCATCTGTGGTAGTTGCTGCGCCGTGAAAAGAACCCTGAATAAGTAACCAATCAATATAATGGTGCAGTACCCGTTGGCTGTGCACATGTTGAGCCTGACCATGAATACATTCCTCGGGAATGTAAGTAAACGCTGCTTCATGTTGTAATACTGCGTATACCTTGGAAGTGTTCCGGGTTGCTAGAACTGAGAACTATGTTTACAAAGTGGTCATGCTTTTGTCCTTTGGAGACAAATGAGTCCGGGACCAACCGCGCTCTGCCCAGCTTGCATGATTCAGCATCTGCTGCTGATTTGCATGTTGTAGCTCCGGGCATAAGATGACAAAGTACTCGCACCTGGCATTGCCACCCCGACTTCTCATAGCCGCATCCGTTGCTCTTAGCTGCCCCCGAAACCCTAAACCCTCCTCGCCTTGAGACGTAGGTCACGATGTTGTCTAGATCACTCGCCCCCTGTGGGCAGGAGAAGTAATCATACCAAACAAACCTCGGCTGAAGCTTATAGTTTAGGGTTTAGGGGCTTACGCCTGAGACCTAGATTGGATTGATCGAGATGTGAAAGTGTTTGGGGTTTAGTGGTTGCGAGCCTGTTCTTGGCTTCTTCCACTCCCCAATCTCCACATCCTAATCAAAAACTGTCCCAAGCTATCCAAGCAACAGCCGCCCGGATTTGAAATCAGAAGCTTCCGGCGTCTTCAAGCGTCCATAGAACAGCTCTGCCGTGACTGGGAGGGAGACACGGCTCTGTCCGGACATGATGTTACGTAGAGCGCCTTGAAGAACTTTGAACTGATGACCTGATGGATCCTTGGTTCATGCAGTCGCCACCCCCTCTCTCTCCCACACTTCGTGGGCAGAGATCTGCAAAGAAACCCTACAGAGTTTGAAAAATGCGCCCGCGTCAACAATGCCCAAGGATCTGGGTGGTCATTTGAAAACCACTGGTGCGATACGAACATTGCGCTGCCCAAGCTCTCATCGAACGGTACAAGGGCCCCGGCGCGCAGCAACTCCTTGCGCACATCAACCCTCCAACTGAAATCCAAGGACCGCAACTGCTCGGCATGTGTTTCGATTCCGTAAAAGTAACCGCATCAACTAACACGAAACCGGGTTCTCACATCTGGGTCCATATCTCAGTCTATCTATCCATCCATCTGTAAACTTTACTTGCTTGAATTGAAACCTACCTCTCTATCTATCCATATCTCTCTCTCTCTCTCTCTCGGCATCGCTCTCTGTCTCGCTCTCTCTCTCTCTCTCTCTACCTTCTAACTATCCATCTCACCATCTATCCGTCTATCGATCGATCTCTGATCTCTCTATCCATCTATCCATCTATCGGTGTGTACGTATATGTATATGTATATGTATGTGACAGCTGCATCCACAAACATGCTCTGATACGCAATGGCACCGGCAAGACGCTGCAAAAGCTAGCTTTTGCTTGTGTTCTCTGTCAGTATGAAACCGGCACGTCAACATTCCGAACCCTGGCCCAGCAGTCAGCAGCTCCTCGTGCATCTGAATCTCACACATCGCAAGCAGAGATCCTACCGAAACTGTGTACCTCGGCTCTACAGCGGCTCTGACGCAGATCTATGCAGATGCAAACTCTTATGGTCCAAGCACGCCGCGGCACACTCCGGTGCTGCCAGCCCCTACAAGGCCCCTAAAAACCTGCCTCGATAATCAGTTCGTCGCTCCACACAAGTTCCGGTTCTGCTCAAGATGCCGAACTTGCAGCATGATTCTCACCCAAGGTGCATTGGAAATGGTGTGAGTTGTGGCAGCTGAGGAGTGAGCGAATGATACAGCTCCGGCCCTGGCTGTTGCCGTTCAGCAAGGAAGTCAGCGGCACTCGAAGCCATTGCTGCTCAGCTGGGCCACTGTCTACTGAGCGCAACTGAACTGCTTTCCCAGAAAGCCGAAAAGCAGGAACGATCCTGACTAGCGCGACCAACGCTCGCAGCTCCCATGCTACGACATCGAACTATGTAAGACACCCACGGCATCTCAAGCCGGATCAACGCCTGATAATATAGCACATGCCACTGGCATGCATAGAAAAGACAGCACTATACAACAAAATCTCTGCAAGGAACCAAGCGTCAACGCATGCAATAACGCGATATTCCTTGGCCTGTGGCGAAGCTAGCAGCTAATTAATATCGACATGCTGCACACATGCCTGGTGAACTAGCGGTTGATGTTATGCCGCAACACACGACTACATCAAACACACGAAGCAACCACATTAGATCGTGGTGCTGGTGTGTCGCCACATGGGTCTGGATGCCTCGCGAACATCATTCACATGCTCGGGTTTCCTGTTGCCCGTGTTGAAAACACACTGCAGCGATGATCGCCTTGAAGTTTTTCATTGCAAGTGAAATTGAAAGCTGTTGTCTGACGGTCGCTTGTAACTATACTTGAGTATCTCAACTCGCTCTCATAAATGATGGCTTCTGATGGCTAACCTCCTGCACCGAGTGAGCTGCAAGGTGTGTGAAGGGGACTGCGAACAAAAAACTCGCTAGCAACTGACTGGATATTCACGGCTAAGTAAGACTGCTGCTAACTTGGTAGACATGGGGCGTGGGTATGTTCAGCCCGCACAGCCATGGCCAGGATGCCAATCGAGCTCTTCTCCCTGACTGTCGGTTTTCTTGCGCAGGTCCGGTTGCGGTGCTTGTCCAATCCAATACATACGGTACTTGGCTTTAAATGGTTTCACAAGGCCCCAATAGGCAGTTGAACAATAATGCCTCCCGGCATATCTTTCCACCACCTAATCTCGAAACTTAATGACTTCATTAGTGCAATGGCTTTTTCGGGCTGGGCCGGTCGCTCTCCGTGGCACAGCCTACTGAGATGAGGCATGCTCGAGCCATGCATACCACTGGTTGTAATACTGTGTTGCATCATAATAAACTATTGTGTCAGATCTTGTCTTACATTTTGTAATTACACGGTATGATATGAAAGGTTTATACTATATATATATATATATTACTATATATATATATATGTAGATATCTTTTTTCTAACAACGTATGTTATATCTTATGATGTTAGGTTAGAGCGGATTAGATTGTATATCGTAATGGCATTATCTCAACCGTAGCAGCTGGCAAAAGAAAGGGATGCAGCGTCCTCTGCATGCCCGTGGAGCATCTGCTCCACGCTCCGCCCGGCACAAATGAAGCGACGAACCTTGGAGGTTTAGGGTTTCGGCTGGAAAAGCTCATCGAATTTGCGGTGCGGCGCTGCGGTTCACTGCAGGAGATTGTCTCAATGCCCATTTACACGGACATGTATGTATGCATGTACGTAAGAAAGGTTAATATATATATATACACATTTATGTACATATACCTATCTTTATATATATATATATACACACACACATATACATATGCGTATATAACATGCACATACAATTATCAATTGTTTTGGTCTGAGAACAATTTGACACCCCCTTCCCCTCCATTCACCTTGTCGTGAACTGCCCGTCCCACAGCCGTCCCGGTCCGGGTTCAATCCATTGCCCGAATTTGATCCCCAAGATTGCAACATGGTTTGTTGAGTGGCTGTCTTTGGGCTCTTCGATGGTCTGCTTGCCCCGTCGAAGGAGTTCTGCACCCCTTCAACCCCGAAGAGATGCCCTCTCGTAGAACCCGAACAAAACCTAGACCGACCTTCTCTTCCATCCTGGCTCCGATTGAGCACGCCGAGGTAACTGACTCTCTTACAGACGGTTATTATAAACGCCACATAACAGAGGCCCTACGCAGAAATCAAAAACTGGTACCAAAGTACGCGCACGTGTGGTGGCTACGTTTTGGATGAATCTTTGCAAGCTACGGCGCTGTACGAACCGACACATTGACAACATCAGTAAATGCATCACATCAGTTCCACTCGCACAGCTCAATCTTTCGGGTTCTTGGGCTTCCGGGGCGCGTTGCTGCAATGATCTGCAATGCACCCTCGAGAGGAGCCGCGATGCTTGGGGTTGTAGAGCTTCAGAGGTGCAGGCGTGTGCGGGTTTGCGCGTGCGCTTGTTTGCTTGTTTGCGTGCACCTGTCTATCTTTGTCTGTCTCTCACTGTCGATCTCCGTCTGTCTCTGTCTGTTTTCTGTTGGTCTGTCCTTCCGTCCGTCCGTCCGACAGTCTTTCTGGCGGTCTCTGTGTGCAGCATGTCTCTGGGTCTCTGTGTGTCTGTGTCTGTGTTTGCCAGCGTGTGCATGTTTGCGTGCTTGTGTCAGCGTGTTTCTGTGCGTCTGTGTCCGCGCGTCTGCGTGTCTGTGTGTCCGTCTGTCATCCTGTCTCTGTCTGTATGTCTGTCTCGCTGTGTGTCTCGCTTCTGTGTCTGTGGGTTGGGGGGAGCGGAGTGAGTGTCGCGCGGGCCTCTGCGTCTGCATGCGTGAACGTCGCCAACTCTGCTTCAGTGAAGCTGCAGCCGAGGAACAGCTCGCAGCGCACACTCCATCTTATGGGCAGTTCCCAGAGAATAGAACAAGCGGATCCTTCGGATGGAACTGTTGTGAGGTTAGAACTCGATCACAGGTGTAAGTCTTGGAGACCGTCTGTTTTGCTGATCGTCTTTTCAAATATCTGACAAGGAGTTGCCACGACTTGCATCATGTGCAGGTTGACAACAATCTCCCAACACTTCAGAGGGTTGGGGCTTCCGACTTGAGTCTCCAGGCTTTTGGCGGTTTTGGCGCGAAGAGTTTCCAGCTGTCGAAAATGGAAGGTTGTGCAAGGCAGTCTGTTCAGTCAACAAGCTGAACGACAAAGCCATATTATGCAGCCTTAACCGCCTCGAAGCAAGGGCATGCCATGGAGCCTAAACGGCAAGTGGGGAATCTGAGATCTTCATTAGCGCAGCTCGAAGCTAGCGATAAAATGAACATAACCCGAAGTGCTGTCAGGCAGCTCTTCTGGCAACTTGGCTGCATGCTCCGCCTTGGGGCTTGAAGCCGTGGCGGGCAGTTCAGGAACGAAAACAGCTCCAAAATTACGATTTCACTCTTACTGTCGGCAGCTTTACTGCAAAATCGAACTGCTTGCATACATCGGCAAAGAACTCGGCGACAAATGCGAAAGGCTGCTCGAGTTCAGCGTAGGACAGACGTGGAGACGGTCTTCACCGGTGTTCAAGCCACGCCTATCTCCGTGCTATCACTGCTCGCACTGCTCTCTGACTATCTGAATCGGGTAATGAATTACAACTTCAATCACTGCGATGGCAATACTGATTCTCATGGAACGCTCATCGACACTGCCGCGTGAAGTTTAAGTTACCTGAGACTGCTCGATTGTGTTAAACAGATCTAGTGAACGCACCGCCGCCATGCTCAGTGCATGTGATTCGTGACCGCACCGGATTCAAGGAAATTCCCTGCGCCACAGTAGGGAAACCCCGTTCAGGGTTCCTGCTACGCTATTTGACCAGACCTGAAAAACCCTGCACACGGTTTGGAAGCAGGAGTCCACGAACCATACCATTGACCCCAGAAATAAGACCCCCAACTGCTGAAGGTCAAAAAAACCATAAGTTCACGCCGCTCTCCTGACTGGGTGAGGGGGCGCAGTATCCTGCCGAACACACTCAACCGGCACCAAACATCTCTTTCCCCTAACCTCCCTGTTCCTTTTGGTCGCGTTGGGCAACCAAGCCTGCAAACGAAGACTCTCTAATCACCTGGCACCTTCCACCCTCTCTTTCTGCATGCAACCTGTTCATTGGTTGATGCCTGTCGCTCTCGAACACGGGATGAGAAAGCCCGAAGCTCGAATCCTGAAGGGCAATGCACCCTGCAAATCACTCGTCAGCCCCCCAACAAATTCCAGAACATGTGATATCCTTAGGGTCTAGGCTAAACCCAGCAGACCTGGTTTGCGAACAAGAACTGCTCCTGAGTCCCGCCCTCTCAATACCCANNCCCCC